GGGGAGGGGTTCTGGTCTCAGGCAATTATATTAGAAGAAGTTGGTGAGTTTAGGGCCATTAGATTAGGAATATCAAGGGCTGAGATTTTCGTTATAAAAACGACATCGTTTTGATTATTTAGGGGATTGGACCGGAATGAGGAAGTTGGGCTAGGGCGAACTTGGGCATTTTTGGGTCATTGAAGCTTTGGCCCAGTGACAACATATTTCTTTAATTCCTCTTCTTTGTATTTTCTTCTTTCTTCTTTTTTTCTAATTTATTTTAAATTCTAAACTAATTAATTAAAACCCTAGATTAGGTCCTAAATCAAATCTAAATTGTGAAATAAATCTAATTAACTATTTCTAACATTCGAACAATTCATTAACTTTAAAACTAAAGGAACTTACTAATTTAAAACTAGAAACTAAAAATATGAAAATGAACAATATTTTTTGTGATTTTTGTTTTAATAGTGCAATTAATTAACAAATTAATCCTAAAAATGCACACACAAAACCTAAAATGCAATGCATGAAATTCTGAACATTTTAATGGTATTTTTCATGATTTTTTTTTTTTTTTGAAAATAAATGTGCAACTAAATGCAAACAACAATTAACAAGAAATTCTTAAGAATTCTATAAAACTAAAAAAGAAATAATAGAAATCGATTTTTGGGAAAATTTAGGAGTAATTTGTATTAGGCAAAAATTACATGCTCACAAGAAGCATTACTATTGGTTTAACCCGAAAAAATTAGAGGTCCTATTGCGCAAACATATTGAGCAAGGTGATAATCAACCTTTAAGACCGTAACGATCAAACTCGTTTCAGTTTCTAGTTTCTACGTTACATGTGTATTTGACAAGAAACAATGTACATAGACGATCAAAGTGGAATGATTAATTCAGATTTTCAATTCAAGCCTCTATAAGACGTAAGTTACTACGATAATACTTCGATAAGTTAGTAGTACTCTTGCTTTAAAACCTTGGCTTATTTATCTAGCAGTTCGTATTATCTCTTGACCATAATTTATGAATTCAGTTATCATGGGCACTGATGTAAATTACAAATTAATAAACTGTAAGTTTAGATTATATATATATATATATACCCTGACTTCTAAACATGGCTTGATCTGTATACATAGACTAAACTTCTTAATTACACTGAGTTTGAGTTTATCATAAACACAAATTGCGTGGAAACAGAAACAGAGAAGGGCCAACACTTCAAAGCATAATTTGAAGTTTAAGTTTTAGTGGGGTGCAGAACAAGAAACAGAATGGAAGAATCAACCCCTTAAACAATTTCCTCTAATATGTATAACTGATGCAATAAACAAATAAAAATAATGGTTATAGAAACAAATATTTAAAACTAAAACCAAAAGAATAAACAGAAGATTTCCTGTTGTCGATTCAAGGCCACGAGGCCTGTTTCTGATCAATAAGAAATGCCCACTGCTTGTTCAATTTCACAGATTGCTCATAGCTAAAGCAACTCTCAACAAGAAAACTCATACAAAAGCTGTGAAATGGCTCACTGACAACTTCAGGGCATGTATTGAGGGCAGGATGAGAAGTAAGATAGATAATCACTAAAACTGGGACTTCCATAGTTCATCTAGAAATGCCACTCATTGAGCTTTAAGTACCTGAGATTGGTATTCTCCTAGAGCCCAAATTGGGAAGCTGTTCCTATATGCCGAATATGAAATCATGCAATTCTTGTTGAAGACCCCGATTATCTCCTGGGAAATTTAAGATTTGGCAAACATATACAAGTTAAAGCACATAATTTGTTTTGGCACGATTCTTGAAGAGAAGATAGTAAATAAGATGTCATTACAACTAAAATGGGTGAGATATTTTCTTGATTCATCGCATGTATTACCCCAACCAAGACTACACTTGTACATGCAAGGTGGAAAATCTTATGATTATAGTTCGATGCACGGTGAAAGAACTGATTTTTGCTATATTTAAGATTCGTGCATGCCCTTCTAGAGGAAGTTGTTAGTTCGTAAATACAAATAGAAGATTTTATCCAATCAGTTTCTGGTGCTCCAGTAAACTTAAATTTATAGTGACTGAGATTAATTCAGGCATTATATTTGAAGTCTAATAAGTCAACAATTAGGCTTATTGGCTGAAGGCATATCTTTGAGATTAACTAGGAACACAATGAAAGAATGAAATAAAGTACTCCCTCTGCCCCATAAAATGGCACTTTCTGCTCCTCGAGATTCAAACTACGTGAACTTTGACCAATATTTAAAATGTATTTATTTTATCAAATTAACATAAGAAGAATTGCAATTTATAGTACTTCTTATATAGTTTTTGAATATTCAGGTTTTACTTTTTAAAGTTTTTGAGTTGATCCAGTCCAGTTTAGCTTCAAAGATTAGTCAAATTGACTCTCGAAAAGCGAAAAGTTCCACATAAACTGGAAAAATCACAACAACCATCTAAACTTGTGAATCATCTGCAACTCCCATTATTTATTCGAGGAGGAACACTTCTATCAGGATTCAAAGGCTACAGGAAAAATATAAAAAGGATCAACCTTTCCAATACTTCACCCCTTTTGAAAGTCAAGCTGTCACCTGCTTTATAACTACCAATTTAAATTTTAGAATGGATCTCGTCGTTCAAGTTTAGCCTGACAATTATTTCAGTATGTAACTCGAGATTTTTGACCAATTGAAAATTGTATCGGAAGAACTTGGATGACTGGTACGTTTGAATCTAACAAACTGGGTTAATTCTTATAATGGTTAGCATTCTAAATATATATATGTTGCGACCTACAAATCTTAGTGGCCACAGAATTACCTGCTGAGGAAAATCTCCATTTTCAAGCTGAGAATTTATCAATACTTTCGCTGCACGGTGTAATGGGGCCGGATCTCTCTTGCCCTGCAGAAAGGAAAGCTAACACTTTAGTGGTGATCAGAAAGCAGAAGATTTCATCGATTTTATACAAAGCACAAAGTAAAGCAGCGACGAGTGTTTACACGTCAAGAAGTTGATAGCCAAAATCTAGAAGTGCATCAATTTTAGGCCTGAAGACACATAACTTAGCTAGACTCTTTTTTATCATTTTTTTAAACTTTTATAAGTGACAATTTGGTACAAGTTGAAGAGCCTCCATCTCTGTGATTATTTCTTGCAATCAACATCTCAGTTTAGGAATGGCAGGTATTAGTGTGTTACTTCAACCACTGATCATAGAATGCCAAAAGCTTTCCGTTTGGATGTCATCTCGGTAAATCATAACATGTTGAACCAATAAAAGCAAAAGAAATAATACATGGGATGTCATCATTTTGAAGGTTAACCTAATTTTCATGAAAAGATGCTTCCCAAGATCATCAGTACGTTGACTTCTTCCCTTTATCCACCCCTTCGATTTCTCCCCCATCCAAAGGAAAAAGAAAAAGAAAAAGTTAAAAGCAATAGTATTAATACTGCGGTAATTTCACCAAAATGCTCCGTGCAATACCTGTTTAACCAAAAATAGAGATTTCGGTCGAAGCTTATTTTTAGAAGAACTCGGGTTACTGATAATCAAATAGAAATAGGAATAATTGATGTAAATAATGACTGAATAGAAAGCAAAGTAAATTATTATATTCCAATAGTATTTCGTGTCCTTACAAATGTTCAGTCCTCACCTTTTATAGCTATTTCTAAGTAATACGTTTTTCTCCTTTCATAATGGAGTCATTATGGACAATTAATGACATTTAATGTAATGCTATAATTGGTAATCATAACTGATTCAATACAGATTCCATAACATTTTCCGTAATTAATGCCTATTAATTACCAATAATACGTATCTATATCCATTTTGCTATTTAGGTTCATTCTTTTGATGTGACCCCTGAATATCAAGAGGTTCGAGCACCTATCCTTTCTGATTTCCTTGGATCTCTGCCCGTACTTGCTGAAGCTCGTGCCTCTTCAACTATTCTTTACCAATTGTCATTCTTTTACCAGTCCATGTGTCATGATATGTCACCTCATAATTAATTCTATAGATGAACTTAATTTTTCCCAATACAGCTAGTCCCCCCACTTGCCATTTATTCATCAATAGAATATTTGGGAAGTGGATCTTATTAAAGCGGGAATATTTGCCGCCATTATCTCTTCTTTGGAACTGACGCTTCATATGTCACTTCCATTTAATGTTTGTGACACGTGGCATCCCCCGATTGGTTCTGCAACTTTTCAGCGTCTTTTAGGACTTTTTTAAGGCTTCATCAATTACGAAGCGACAGCTTCCATCATGACGTTTCCATCATTACACCTTTTCCCTTGACGGTTGCTTCTGAGTATAAATACAATTTTTCGTCTTTGTCTTTATCATAAAAAGTTTAGAATATTCAGTTCTTGTTTTCTTCTTCCTCGTACTACTATGTCTTCTTCAAACCCTAACCCTCGAAGAGTCTCCATTATTGATGACCTTCCTCTTGCCCCTGTTAGAAGTAGGAGAGGAGGAAGACTTCGTAGTTTAGGGTCTTCATCGATACGAGGTCTATTCCTCCAGTAAGTTCTACTCCACCTTCTAGAACTAGGGGTTATCTTTCCCAGAGGTCTTCGTCTAGAAATAAAGACTCTAATGAGCCTCTTCGTGAGTCTTTGGTAGATGAAATTGTTCCTGCTGAACTATCTTTTTATAGTGATAGAGAATAAATCAGAAACCAAGTTTCTTCTATGTCTTCTTTAGATCGTGCAGATATTTACCCATCTCAAATTACTGAAGGTCTGATCTCTGTTGTTCGTAGGGATTGCCCTGGAGACATGATTTCCCCATTATAATTCCCAATGCTAACCAAAGGATTACATCTTACTTGACTGGGTTTTCTTTTGTGCATACATACCCTTTTACATTGAATTTCAAACCCCCCATTGATCCTGTTATCATCGAATTCTGTCGTTTTTTCGATGTTTGTTTAGGACAGATTGGCCCCATTGTGTGGAGGGTTGTTGCATGCTTACGGCATTTAACCAATATGGTTGGTTTGCCTTTTACTTTCTTTCATTTGATTCATCTCTACTCTCCTAAACTTTTCCGCCATGGGATTTTCACTTTAGTAGCGAGAAGTAAGAGAGTGCTAGTTAGTCCAGAGGATGATAAGGACCGTGGCTGGTATGCCAGATTTGTTGTTGCCCCCACTGTTGGTTTAGTGGGTCAAGAAAATGTTCCATTTCCCGAGAAGTGGAATTTTGCACGTAAGTTTTCTTTTTACAACTTTTTCTATCTTTTCTCTCTATTTTGCTCGCTACCATTTAACTTTTCCCTCTTTTTCAGCAACCATGGGAACTGTTGATGAGATTCCCAATTTTCATGGTTGGGTAGGAAAGTTATTGAATGTTGCTCCTATGGAAGGTAGATCTTGGAAAAACCTGTCGCATGGGAACTCATGGTAAAGGCTTTTCTCATATCTTCTTCATATTTTTATTCATCCCTTTTTCAGAACTTGTTTTGATCCTTTTTTTTATCAGGATTTCTCATTCGAGGTATTAGTGGCAATGCAGTCGTAGCTTCCGGAGTTTCCTTGGAAAGAGCTCAAGAGATAATCTTGGGTTCTTCATCGAAAAGGAAGGCTGATACGACTCAAGATTCTGAAGAAGAAGAAGAAGAAGAACAGGACGGAAGTTCCATGATTAAAAGGCAACGGGCCAGAAGGCGCGTCTTTTCAGATGATGAAGCAACCCCTCCCCGTTCTGCTCCCATTACCGAGCCTATTAAAGCCACCATGGTAATCTCTGATGATGACACTCCTGTGGCAGCTCGTGACTCTGATGATCAACTTTTTGCTCGTGGGTTTGGTGGTGACAATTTGGTTTAGTTTCTGATAAAGTACTCCTTGCCTCATTTACCATGCATGTTCCTGTGACGTCTTCTTTACCAGTTGCAACTGCTGCCGTTGTTGCTCCGTCCCAAGCTGTTTTGACCTCTTCCACAGTTCCCCCTACTACTGTCCTTCATACCTAGGTTGGTTCCTCAATTGGAAGTGGAGCTATGAAGCAAATTATCATCGAGGTTCCTGCCGAGGGTAACCTTTTGAGAAAATCAAGTCGGGCTGACGTGTGGTTGAAACCTCTGATCGGTCCAGTTGAGAAATCCAAGCTTGAGAGTCACAACTCTTTGACTTGGATGAATAACATAGTGCAGTCATCTTTAAAGGTATTTGTTTCTTTTCACACTTTATTACATCTTTCTTCTATTAAAGTTCTTACCCCCCCTTTTTTTAGATCAATCTTAGAGCAGCAATTGAAGGTTTTAACTTCAGAGTTAGCAGTTGAGAAGGCTTCCTCAAATCAAGCTGGCAAGGATAAAAATCTCCTCGAGACATCGTTTTCTGAGCAACTCTCCAAAGCCAGTGAAGAGATTAGATAATTGAAGGCTTTGCTGAATGAAAAAGAAGTTTACGCCGGTGAACTTGTTCAATCACTTACTCATACCCAAGAAGATCTCCGTGAGTCTTCTAATAAGGTCAGTTTTCTAGAAAGTTCACTTGCTCCTCTACAAGCTTCTTATGATTCGGCCTTGGCTGAGAATGAAAAGCTCAAAAATGAGATTGATCAATGGGAGAAAGATTATGAGATTCTTGAGGACAAGACTGCCATTGAAGTGAGTTGGGCAATTTTAAACACACGCCACGATACCTTTGTGGAGGCTAGCCAAGAGGGTTTCAACTTGGATGCTGAGTTAGCCAAGATAAAGGAGACTATTGAAAAAACTCAGCAAGGCCAAGACTTCCATTATCCTATGGCTGATACTCCCGAGCATGTTGAAGATGATATGGGTACAGTGAATGCCCCAACTCCTGCAAGCCAACTCGAACCTTCTGCTCTAGTGACACTGCTTTAGATCCTTCTTTAGCCCCTCAGTGAAAGCTTATGAAGTGTGACTTCTTTTATTTACTTTCTTGGTGGAATGTGGTTTTAACCCTCGGTCCCATTTGAGGGTTTAGTTTTTTGAAAATGACAAGTCCCCAGACCTTTTCGGGGCATTTTGTATAAATGACAAATAGTTTACGACTAGGTTCATACTTAGTCTGAACCTTAATATTAAGAAGTTTTTGTTTTTACTTAATTGTCTTGAGCCTTTGTTTTGCTCGTTCTTGCCTTTATATTCAAGGACTTGTTAGTTAATTTGTGGGTTTAAGTTTTACCCTTTTTGCATTTTTTGTTTTATAAAATGCTTTATTAACTCCATGGATGTCTGAATCAAACATGAATTTTATAAAAGAGGACCTTTTTATACTCGACACTTAATGAGGAAGACGTCTCAACTTCATAATGGTGTAAATATACGAAAATGAAATAGGAACATACATGTTTCTTGAAATAACTTTGATAAAGTTTTCATCGGAACTTTGTCAAGTTTAAGTAACATCTTACATATATTTAAATATCTTCTATGACTTTTCGTAACTGTTTTTATTACAACAGATTTGCAAAAAAGGAAATAAAATCCAAGTTGCCTTTAACCTAGACATCATAAGATTTTGAAATCTATATGAAGGGTTTTTTTGACTGGCTTGTGTTATTGGCTCGTGACTTTGCTCTGCACTTGACATATTTGATGAGTAGACTTTTGGGCTTGACTTGAATTTAACTTTCATTCAATCTTCTTTGCCTTCTTTATACATATGTCCTATGTATATTATATAGTCCCCCAAGTGTTTGAGCTTTGAAGTATGAAATCTCGAGCACTTGATTACTCCTACCATGTGGTCCTTTTCCTGAAAAGGAAAAACATACGGGACTCGGAGGTACGATTGTAGATGAAGACTGCTTAACCCACTTAAATTTCTATCAGAATAGTTGTAACCGTAGACCGGGAATTTATATTTTTCCACGTGTCTTGCAGGTCGTGATTCATCACTTAGTACGGG